GGACTGGCTTATAACTCCCCCTCCACTCCCTAGCCCTCCATGTCAGGCCGCTCTCTCTGTCCCCAATGAGCCCCCAAGGAGCCTCTCTGTTTCTGCCTGGCTCTCTGCTCTGTGATATGCAACAGATTACTTCTTCTGTTTAATTATTGTATTTTAATATTCTGTTGGAAGCCGCTCAGAGTGGCTGGGGAAACCCAGCCAGATGGGCAGGGCATAAATAATTTATTTTTATTATTATTATTATTATTATTATTATTATTATTATTATTAGAGGGGGAGGGACTTGCAGGCTATCAGCAGAGAAGCTATCAGGATGGCTCTGTGGTGGAGCTGCCTGTTTCCTGTTTCTGCCCTGTGCTGGGGCACCTGCCTGTTTCCTCCTCTTCATCATCCTCCAGACTCCTAGCCTCTGGTACTTCCCAGCCCTTCCCCTGCTCAGGAGTGTATCCAGTTTCCCACCAACAGGATCCAGGCAGCGGTGGAGGAAGCAGGTCAGGCACCTGGGGCGGCGTGCCCAGGGACAGGGCGAGCCGCCCATAGGGGCGGGGCACACCGTGGGGCCTCCGGAGTCTGCCTGCCTCCTCTCACTCAGCCACCCTACAGCTGGGGGGAGGCAGCAGGTGGACCGTTTGGGCAGCACGGAGCCTGCGCGCGCCCAAGCCACCGTATCTCTCCAACAGTGAGCGCCACAACATTGCTAGAGTAGACATGAAGGTTGTCTCAGTCCTCCAGCCGGAACTTCCTGCTTTCCAGGACTGAGACAAAACTTGAGATGTGTAACTTGAGATGGGCATGGCCTCTCCTGAAGTAAGAAAGAACCAGAGCCACAGGCTGGCAACCATCTTGTCTCTCTTGTCTCTATCGATGCCATCTTAACAACAGCACTACTAAGATGCACCCTTGGCTCCAGGCCAAGAGAAGAAAAGGGGGGCTTTTTCCCATACCACATTTAAACTATGTCTTAACCTTTTAAGTTTGCCTTCTGGGAACCTCTGTGTGAACAGATGATTACTTGTGAGCAAATGTTTTATACTTTACAGAAGACTGTGTAGCATCTTATTTTAGGAGGGATTAAACGGGGAAAATACCAGGAAATATTCACAGAGACTCTAACGAGTCTGAGCAAGCTATCTGCTGTGTGTGTGTTTAAAAAAAGGGGAATGTTAACTCTGCTGATTTTGTTGAACTTGTAAAGACAAGTTGGGATAGGATATCTTAGACAATATATCCTCCCCTGCATCCCTAAGCATTCCCCCAGTTTCCACCACTCCTCTTCATCCAGCCAGTACCTGACACACTGCAGCAAAGTGGTGGCAGCATGGCACCGTCCTAGGTGACTTTGATGGGTAGTCCACCCTGTTTAAAGACCTCTGTTGAACATAGGAAGCTGCCTTAGATGAATCAGACTCTTGGTCCCTCTAGCTCACTTCTGTCCAGAGATTCAGGCAGAGGTCTTTCTAGGGAGATCCTGGGGACCGAACGTAGGCATGGGGCTGTGTCATGCATGTTTGCCCCCTCCCGAATCGCTTGCGCTCACTCTATACATCATGCAAAAATGAGGGCGTCTTCAAGAGTCATGCACAGAAGCGAGTCTTGAAATATAGCCACACTTACCAGGTTTATTTTATTTAAGTGCCTTAGTCACAGAAGCATTTTTTAAAAATTCTTGCTTCAACAAGGAGAGTCTCCACCCTGAAGCATGTTGCGTGTCTTAGAAGCAGTGTCAGGAGCTCAGTTTTTTTTACACAGGCAATCAAATATTTAAGAGATGATGATGTATCTTAAAAACTGACTTGCCTTATCGGTACTAAAGCCGAGCTGAAACTGCTAACTTCATTTTGTGTGGTTTTTTTGTGAGCACCGGGAAGTGAATCCCATTTTAAGATGATTTTTTGGCATGAGCATATTTTAGTCGATTCAATGCTATTGGACACCCAAGAGCAGAAAGACGCTGCGAAGGTCACATATGGCATAGCCCTAATTGCCCAGTCAGTGGTAAAATGGGGCTGGAATGTGGGATAAGCTAGGTATTCTGCATAGAGCTGAAACTGAGGAATATAGGGGAGAATTCTATGAAGCACCAAGCTAAAAGCCAAGCAATGTGTAAAAGTCTAAGCACTAAGCAATGTGCTGGTTGTACTAGTGTAATGGCTTGCACAAGAGAAGGTGCAGGAAGCCAGCAGGGTTCTTGTGGATGGTTTCACAACAAATTGCTGTAGCCCTGATTCTTCCTGTTGCACAACTAGTTGCACTAGTGCAACCGTTTCACTGAATTTTATATTGTACAACCATTATGCTTGTGCAATAGCCCTTGCACTGGTGGCTACAGAATGCTGAATCTGGACCACTGGGTTTAAGCCGTTCTTAAGTATGATTTACATACACTCCCTTAAGTCTGTCCCTCTCTTCAGGGCCTTCTTGTTACATTACACAGCACACAGGAACTGCTGCCCCCCTCCCAGGTGGTAATGGGCCTTCCCTTCCCTTTCTTGCATGGTTAGGAGTTTTTATTTCCCTATCAGACTTATTTCATCTTCCAGCAGCTGAGGGATCCTGAAGGCAAGTGCATTCGTAAAGCTAATACAGATTATCGGCAAGATAGCTAATATCCCCTACATATTTGCAACATTCCAATAATCTCACACTGTGACTACCATCTTGGCTCCCATTTTTCCCATGCACGACGTTAACCAAAGCAGCATGGCTTCTGAACATGCCATAGCACAGAATGCCTTATCAGCCATCTGTAGAAGTTCCCTCCTGGTTTCACAACTTACCTCACTGGCAGTTTTATAATCCTCCACCACAGTTTGTGAAATGGCAACTTTCTACCCACCTACGCTCAATTTTCATTTCCATGCATCCCTACATGGAGAGATTCTTCTCCTGCATTTTCTTCAAAAGTTGACTTGCTCTGGCAGGTGCAATTTGTGATCCTGTGATAGCCGTGAAATAACTAGGACAGGGCACAGGGTTATGTAAAAATCAGGTGTGATTGTTGTTTTTAAAGGTGAGAAAAGGGGCAATACTGGGAAAATCCAGTCTGCCTTAAAGCATCCTGGATTATCATTTCTAGAAAGTTAAATCAATTATTGTTTCTAGAAAGTTAAATCAACCTTGCTTAAGCTGCAAAGGATGGTATGCCTCTGATCTCATTAACAGCAGCAAGGAAGGTTAATAACTGAACAATATATCCCCTCCTAGCATCTAAATCCATTCCTACAAAAGAGGGGTGTGGGAGCATGTGCTGAAACTAGCCAAAAGAACAAAGGTAAACATTATCTTTGTTGTTCCAGCCACTTTGGCCTTTGGCCCTGCCCTCCAGGACATGTGGCCCTCAGAAGATTGCTCAGAAGGGAACATGGCCCCCAGGATGAAAAGAAAATCCCCACTTTCTGGGTTTGGGGATACATTTTCCCATGCCTGAAAAACTGCTTGCTAACCACCTGTGGAATGCCTTCCCCTCATTGCCCAGCAGCAGATTCACGGCCAAGAACTGCACTCAGAGCCGGCCCACAGATGAGGTAGGATGAAGCAGCTGCCTCAGGCTGTGGAAACACAAGAGGTGGTGCCCGACCACCCCACTGCTTCTGCCACCAGCTCGCTCTCTGGAGAGTGGGGCATTCTGCCGCTCTGCTTGCCACTGGTCTCTCTCTCTCTACCCTTAGGGTTGGATAGAGCCAGTAGCAAAGTTTGCTGGAATTCCTCCTGAAGGAGAAGCCCTTGTCGAATCTTCCTTCCTCCCACCCAACAGGGTGGCAAGGCTTGGCAAGGGCTGTCTCTTAAGGAAAAGCCCTTGCAGAGCCTTACCTCTGGAAGGCGGAACAACTCATTTCCACTTCCTACATCTGACAGTGAGGCTTTGCAAGGGTTTTCCCTTGAGCTGAAGCCCTTGCAGAGCCTCATGCAACAATGGGGCATTTCACCTCTGGAACCAAAATGCCTCGGGTTTGGGGAGCCTTTCTCTTCCCTTGAAACAAACGTATAAGATTGAGCAAAACTTGGGGGCAAAGGGAAATGATGACCTGAGCCATCAACCAGGAGAGTCAGACAGACAGACTAATAGATTGAAGACATGCCTTAGAGAAGCAGTGATTCAAAAAAGGACAGTACTGTCAGAACGGGATGCCCATATCAGCTGGAATGCCCCATCAGAGCATATCAGACTTTCATTTTCCAGGTTCAGACATAACAAGGAATCAAGGAAAAGGTAAACTGGGGTGCTGCTGAATCTTTTTTAGATGCCCCAACTGTTTCTTGGTATGCAATGAGTTCAGGGGAAATTGAAATGGGTATGTGTGTGATCCAGGTTACTCATGTATTTCTACACATCAGCCATTAGCCATTGCAACCTGGATACAACAGTGCAAACATAAATATGACCTAAAAAATGAAATGACCAAATTAAATGAAAAGCACCAACTCATAGCAATTTGAAGACAGAGTACAAATCTATGTAAACACAACCTTGCAGATAAAATCGCAAACTTTCTTTTTAAAAAAACAACACACGATGCAAAATAAAATTCTGGGTTACTGGGTAGGATTATTAATTTAGAGAAATAATTTGATTTAATAGGACTTTATCTAGAGATGGTGTGGGGGTGGTGAATGGGGGTAATTTTCTTGATACGCCTATTAAATCAGGGAAGAAGGACATGCCCTTATTGCTACATATATTTGTAGGGGAGAATAATCACGCTGGACCCAAAGTCACCAAAGGTAAGTCTGGCTTCATCTCCCAAAGTCAGTTCCATGAGACATTTGCACCTTGGTTCATAACCATAAAATTATGATCCAGGTGCAGAGAATGGATAGAGGGAATTTGGTCTTCCTCTTGCTTAGTACTAGAACCTGAGGTCACCAAATAAAATGGCAACATAGGAGCACAAGGCATGACCTTATATCTTCTACTGAGTCACAACCATTGATCCATCTAGTTCAGTATTGTCTACACTGACTGGCAGCAGCTCTCCAGGGTTTTGGGCAGGGGACACTCCCACCCCTACCCAGGATTTGAACCCAGGACCTTTTGCATGCAAAGCAGCTGCTCTACCACTGAGCCACAGCACTCTCCCCATGTTTGGGGCAGGTTCAGGGCAGACCAAAGAAAGCACACTTCACCCAACTCAAGTTCAATGCCAGAAGACAGGACTCTGGTCACAATAGATCAGATCTACATTTGTTTTAAAGTATTAGACATTCATAGAGAACAGGCCTGGCCGCAGTGACTTACCAAGATAAGAAAACAGAAGCGCTACACAGAGGTTATTTATCTTATTAAAAATAAAAATAATAAAAAAATGTCCACTTCTCATCCAAACAACTCTCACATCTCTGAATTCTTGGTACTGCCAAGAATTGGTACAGTCTTGACTTGGTATACTCAAGAGAATGACTTCAAGATAGCTCAGACAGTAGAGCATGGGATTCTTAATCTCAGGGTCTGGGTTCGAGCTCCACATTGTGCAAAAGATTCCTGCATTGCATGGGGTTAGACTAGATGACCCTTGTGGTCCCTCCCATCTCTACAATTCTGTGATTCTATGATCATGCTGAAGCCTTGTTTTTGAACTTCCAGGGGCATCCAGTTGCATCTTGCGGAAGGAGAAAGACAACCTTTTCACATTCTTATAATGCTCAAGATTTGAAATGGGAGAATCCTCACATTGTCGCTACTCACATGCACATGTTGTTTTATCTTGCGAAGAAAAGGAGGGGGAAGGTGGAATTTGGGGAAACTCAGCTCACTGAGCTTCTCAACGGTCCTCCACCCTAACTGCAAAACACTCTGAAAATTCTGCCCGAAAGACAAGCGAGAACTTACAGAAACAAATATGCAACAGATGGCTGAGCTATTGCTTATCAAGCCTATCCCTGTGATACACTGTTCCAACATGGGCAAGCTTATCTTCTTTCATTGTAAAAGGACAGGATATCATCTTATGATAACACCATAAAACATATGTCAAGCAAACAGCCCTTTGGAAAGAAGAGTAATGAGCGCAATCTCTTATTATCAGTTAGTACTCGGGGTGGTTCAGAGGGGGTGACGTTGCAGAGGGAATGAAAAGCACCTCAGAAACCCTGTTCCTCTCCATCTCATCTCGTAAACATCTCCCCCAACATGAAGGGACCCCAAGCGCTCAGCAGGGGAGACAGCTTGGCATCTTCCTGGTTGTGGAGATGAGAATAGTTTCGGATGATTTGGAGGGATAGGAAATGTTACTCATGATGCTTACTCTTCTGTCTGCTATGGGGCTGTGTGTGGGAGTCATAAAGCCACGGCAAAAGCTTGTAATATTGCAGGGTGCCCCCTGACCTCGGCTGACCAGCACTCTGAGCTTTACAATGTATTGGAATGTATTGACCTTAAATGGAGTTGTGTTTCCTTTGGGCAGTGATGACCCTATATGGCAATTAAAGCCTTGACCGGATGAGGTAACGTGAGACATTGGCAAACGGCCATGCGGCTGGAGAGGGACAAAGGAGAATAAAGAAGCTACAGGAGGAGAGGGAAGTTCGAAAGGAGCTGCTCATACCATCATGAAAATATTGCTGGCTCTCTGTGTCTTTATTTTATGCTAAACTGCGCCATTTGTAATGGCTGGCTCCGACAGCTGTGGCTCTAGTCTCCCCACCAGTGTGGTGTAGTGGTTAAGAGCGGTAGACTCATAATCTGGGGAACCGGGTTCTCTCCTCCACATGCAGCTGCTGGGTGACCTTGGGCTAGTCACACTTCTCTGAAGTCTCTCAGCCCCACTCACCTCACAGAGTGTTTGTTGTGGGGGAGGAAGGGAAAGGAGAATGTTAGTCACTTTGAGACTCCTTCGGTTAGTGATAAAGCGGGATATCAAATCCAAACTCTTCTTCTTCTTCTTCTTCTTCTCCCTGATTCCACATTCGGGGGGGGGGGGACGTGAATAAGCCAGGGAAAGGGAGTGATCTTTTCCCATAGGTCTGAAATTTATGTGATCCCTTGTTAACGATCCTGTGTGGCACTTTCAAGACTGACCACTTCAGGCTGCAATTAGGCATACTTCTCAGAGAGAAGGTAAAGGACCCCTGGATGGTTATGTCCAGTCAAAGGCAACTATGGGGTTGCAGCACTCATCTCGCTTTCAGGTCGAGGGAGCTGGCGTTTGTCCACAGACAGCTTTCTGGGTCATATGGCCAGCATGACTAAACCGCTTCTGGCGCAACGGAACACCATGACAGAAACCAGAGCACACGGAAACGCCATTTACCTTCCCACTGCAGCAGTACCTATTTATCTACTTGCACTGGTGTGCTTTTGAACAGCTAGGTTGGCAGGAGCTGGGACAGAGCGACGGGAGCTCACCCCATTGCGTGGATTCAAACTGCCAACCTTCTGATCGGCAAGCCCAAGAGGCTCAGTGGTTTAGACTACAGTGTCACCCGCGTCCTTTACCTTTCTAAGAGAGAACTAGAACAGCAGGGTGGAAACAAAACTTTTCTCCCAGCAGAGGAGCAACGGTGACAACTGGGACCCCCTTCTGAACCACAGCAGAACATTTTTCAGTTTAGTTACAGTAGGTACTGTTTTGTGGGGCAGGATGGTGAATGCTTTGAGGATCCTCAGCCTTTACTAGCTCATTAGCATTTCTCAACAACTAAGAATTAAAGGTAAAGGAAACAGTAAAGGACCCCTGACAGTTAAGTCCAGTGGCGGACGACTCTGGGGTTGCGGCGCTCATCTCGCTTTACAGGCCGAGGGAGCTGGCATTTGTCCTCAGACAGTTTTTCCGGGTCATGTGGCCAGCATGACTAAGCCGCTTCTGGCACAATGGAACACCAACACCAGAGCAGCACACGGAAATGCTGTTTACCTTCCCGTCGGAGTGGTATCTATTTATCTACTGGCACTTTGACATGCTTTCGACCTGCTAGGTTAGCAGGAGCAAGGCCTGAGCAATGGGAGCTCACCCTGTTGCGGGGATTTGAACCGCCGACTTTCTGTTCGACAAGCCCAAGAGGCTCAGTGGTTTAGACTACAGCGCCACCTGCGTCCCACTAACTAAGAATTAAGTTGGGTTAAAACTAGCAGATATTTCTTTGAGAGACGATTCACACTTTCAATATTTAATAAACAGGAGTGAGGGCTGGATCTCTGCAATTAGTTTCTTACTGCTCTATGAGCCAATGCGTAGGAGGCCCTCAACATAGATTTCTTTCCCCCCAACAAGCCGTGGCTAAAATATTCATGTTTGCAAATTTATCCAAATTTAGCTTTGTGTTTTAATGAGCAGTTCAGAAAGTGATTCCCCGCCCCCTAGGAATATTTTGTTTTCCCGGCATAGGAAGAGCTGCACAGCTGAGTCCTTTACACTTGGCTAACACAGGACTTCTCTAAACGTAGAACACAGTCCCATACATAGGAACATAGAAAGCTGCCTTAGACTGAGCCAGATCATTGGCCCATCTAGCTCTGACTGGCAGGGGCTCTCCAGGGTTGCAGACCGGCATCTCTCCCATCCCTACCTGGAGATTCCAGGTATTGGACCTGGGACCTTCTGCATGGAAAGCAGATGCTCTAGCACTGAGCTGCAGCCCTTAAATCAGAGGCTGGCTGCTCTAGCACTTGAACACAGACACTGGAAGAGCAGCTGTGTGAAGGTGGAACTAAGCCTAATGTGCTGGATATTTTATGAGCAGGGAAGCCAAAAATGTGATTCTCTCCCTGTCTGCACCCTCTCCATTCCCCATGCATAACAGCCTAAAGTAGCACAGATCAGGAAGGACTTTTCTTTTCTGATTTTCCTGAGTGTCTAAATCAAGGTAGCCAGGCATTCTACTTTACAGAAGTCAGCCCTCGGTTTGAAGTGATGTCCTGCCCAAATCCACTAGTTAGAGCATGGTGTTGACAACACCAAGGTCGTAGGTTCGGTCCCCGTACGGGACAGCTGCCTTGCAGGGGGTTGGATTAGATGATCCTCAGGGTCCCTTCCAACTTTGCAATGTTATGATTCTACAAAGAATTCTACAAAGAATCTGACATAAGCAGAGCAGGAAGGGTCTTGAAGTTGCCTGTTCAGAATCACTACTTAGACAGCAAACAGAGCAAGCACACAACACGGGTCGCCTGGTGACACTCTTCCCCACGATGCTGAGATGTACAGGACTTCTATTTCATTTATAGCCGTTATATCTAAATTTTACCCAAGCAGATATATTGTCATAAGCAAATGAAGGTGATAATTACTTCCCCCACCACCACGGAACCAGAAGGGAATCTACATATGAAGAGCCCAACATCAAGGCAGAGAGAGAGAAAAGCAACATAGATCAGATTGCGCTCAGAATAATAAGAATGAACTCAGCACATGTTCATTCTAAGAACTATGAAACAACTAAGCAGAATAATACTTTACAAGCTGAAGCAAAGATGGAAAAGAAAGTTTGTGTAAGTGCTCAATCTCCCTTATTCTAATAAAAGAACATTAGAACAGGGATAGCCAATATAGTGCCTGCAGGATGCTGTTGGGCATGACTGCAGGTTATGTTGGCTGTGGTTGATGGGAGCTGGAGACAAACAGCATGTGGAGGACATCATGTTGACTACCCTGCCCTAGATATAATGGCAAGTAGGTCAATTCTTGTTGGTCTCAGAACATTTCTCTTTTATCTCCTTCGCCATAAGCCCTACTGCCCATTTTTAATCATCATCATCATCATCATATCATTTATACCCCACCCATCTGGCTGGGTTTCCCCAGCCACTCTGGGCGGCTTACAGCACATATAAAAAATTTGTAAAACATCAGACATTCACAATCTCCCGATACCCTGTAAAGGGGGGTGAATAGACCAGAGGTGAGGAGAATTTGAAGCAGTGGAGACTTTGGGCTTAAGGCCTGGTTGCTCCGCCACTGCTACTAGTAAAGCATAGGAAAGGAAATTCCCAGTATCTCAGAGCTCAACAGATTGATCTGGGAAGCATTGCAAATTATCAAATGCTTTCCTAGATGCAACAGAGGAGGAGACCATACCCTCAAAGTGTGTACTTTCTTTTTCTTTTTCTTTTTGTAAATCTACCAAAGACTAGAATGGGTTTTCTCATATCAGCAGAGGTTCTGTGTTCTGTGTCCCATTGGTGTGGCAGTGGTGGCACTTGCCCTTCTTCTGAAAGGAAATGCTCTGTGGGTGGGAGGACGTAGGAGGACATATAAGGGGAGGGCAAGGAGGGTCAGTTGGGAGGGGGAGTGAGAAATGCCTCTATTTTCATCTTAGGAATGTTGGAGGGTATGGGAGATAGGCATCAAGTCTGAGGCCTTTGCTACCAAGAAGAAGAAGAGGAGGGGGAGGAGGAGTTTGGATTTGATATCCCGCTTTATCACTACCCGAAGGAGTCTCAAAGCGGCTAACATTCTCCTTTCCCCTCCTCTCCCACAACAAACACTCTGTGAGGTGAGTGGGGCTGAGAGACTTCAGAGAAGTGTGAGTAGCCCAAGGTCACCCAGCAGCTGCAGGTGGAGGAGCAGGGACACGAACCCGGTTCACCAGATTACAAGTCTACCGCTCTTAACCACTATACCATACTGGCTGGATTAGACAATCCTTGGGTCCCTTCCAACTCTACAATTCTATGATTCTATCACCTTTCCACAGTTTCCCCCTTCAACTAGTTCAAGAAATGGAGACCATAGTAGGGCTTTGAGGGTCTTGTTCTCCATGACATTACTGGAATGCAATGACCTGCACTGTCAGAAGCAGTAGGTCTCTGAATCTCAGTTGCTGAGTTTCATGAGTGGGGACGGAATTTTTGTGCTAAGGTCCTTCTTGAGGTCTTTCCATAGGCATCTGGCTGGCTGTAATGAGAACAGGATGGTGGATGAGATGGGCCCTTGCTTGACCAAGCAAGGCTCTTCTAATGTTATTAAGTTCAATGGGACAGTAGCTCAAATGGGAGCAGAGTTGAAATGAGTTTATTGGAGTGAAGACTAGATTAACTCTTCTGAAGTAGGCCTATTTCAAACTGAGTTGTGGGGAGGGCTCACCCATCACTAATTCCCCATAAGTCCATATTAGGCAAAGCTCCTGCTTATTTTTATTTTTATTTAAAAAAAATAGCACACTGAAGAAATTAGAAGTGTGTTAAAATTAGATCGACACAGCAGACGGCATTACAGATGGCTTAAATACAAGTTTAGAATCAACGCATTGCTTTGTTGGGACTGGGTTAGCAACCATTAGAATGGGAACATACAGCTTATTCATGCTGTGCAAACGATTCATAATTTTATATAAACCTTCTGCCAGCTGGAAGACTGAAACCAAGTCACTGGCCACTGAGAACAAGTGCAATCATAGTTCTGAGTCCATTTTTCAAGAGTCAAGGCATCCAAGCCAAGTGCCACATTTGTACCTCTTCCATGCCATTCTGATGAGATTTTGCTCCCTCCATTCTTCAACGCATTTGCTTTAGGGAATCCCCAACACAGAATCTCTTAGTTCCAACCAAGGGTGGGTGAATCTGTCCATTTTGGTTTTCCCCAGTTTCTTATTTCCCAGCCCTTAATTCAGTTCTCCTTATTTCCACACGAGACTATGATTTTTTAAAAAGTCTTCAGGAGAATTCAGCAGCATTTTAATGCAAACTTCTCATAAATTTGTTTGCAATTTTGCCAAAAATGCTCATTTTTTGCAAAGCAATTTCTCATAATACAATGCATTTTTTGCACACTATTTCCACCAATATACTCATTTTTATGCACCTTTTTACCCAAGTGCATGCATTTTTGTACATGTCCCCATCCCTAGTTCCCATCCCCATTCTGACCCACATGTTTCTTTCTCCAAAGTGTCCACATTTACCAAAGTAGAAATGTGGCCTAAATTCACAAATAGCAACCAACACCTAAACAGCTTGAAATAGGTGGAGAACAAGCTCAGCCATCATCTTCAGGTGAACTACTTTCCTGCACTTTCTGTGTGGGATCAGTTTTCTGGAGAGTGAGTACTTCTTGGGCACACCCACACAACTATCAGGGTGACGCCAGACACGCATGCTTGAAACCCAAGCGATGCTTTGCGTGTGTGAAGCAGCCGCATATCGGACAGATGGAGTTTTATGACACCTGACATAATCTCAGAGAGACCGGGTTTTCGGGGAAGGCGGGTTCACATAACCAACTGCTTATCAACAGGTGTGATAACGCCAAGTGAAGTACATTCATGTGTGAAAAAAACCCTAATTTAGATCCATTGAGAACATTTCATAGCTGCAGAACAAATGATCAGTTTCTTCACGCTATGCAAGTTCTTCCCCTGCCACCTTGTCTCTGCAGCACATGGGGAAATAGCAGGTGAAATACCCCACCTGTGCATACAAGGAGATCAGTAGAGTCCTCCTAATGCCACACCCTGCAACCTTCCTTTTTAAGAAGCTATAGGGAGAAGATGGTTTGCAGCTGAGATACATTTTGGTCCCTGAACTTCTCCTCAAATGCTCCTTTTCAAATCTTTGCTGCTGATATTCTCTGAATAGCCTCTAAATATTTATTCTTATCCTGCCTTTCTTCCATTGTGGAACCCAAGGTTCTGTACATGTGGCTTCCAGGTAGTCACTCACCTGGGCACTGGTTCAACCCAGATTTGCTTAGCTTCACCAAGGCGGTGGCCTCATGCAACTTCAGATTAAACCTTAAATAAGGGGTAGTCAACGTGTTGCCCTCTAGATGACATTAGACAACAATGCCCATCATCCTTAGCCATTGGCCACAGTGGAACACCTTTAGCATATTTGTTTCATTTTAATGGATTTTTATTTTTTTATTGTGATTTGTTGTCCCTTTAAGCTACTCTAGACTCCAGTTGAGTAAAGCAGTGCCGTGCTTAGCTATGCCTAGCCTAGCCTAACCTAACCTAACCTCATCTGGCTGGGTCAGATGGGAGCTGGAGTCTAACAATATCCAGAGGGCACCGTGTTGGCTACCTCTCAACTTAGATTTGGTTCAGCAGTAACCCTGCTCCAAAGCAAGGTGACTCACAGTGTGCAGGGATGAATGATACCGAAACAGAGCTGAGGAGGAGAGGAAATGATTGAGTTGTTGCAGCTACAGTGAGCCAGTGATGTATGCAGGGAGACTGTGGGTTTAGAAGAAGACTGAGTGCTCCAAAGGTACCAAACTGCAAAAGGTAGAAGGCTGCCTTCATACTGCCATAGGAGCCCGATCTCTTCTAACAAGCTTTGCATCTGTCCCTTAAGTTTCTACCTCTTCTGATTTCATAGAGCAGCTTCCCTCCCTCCCTCTTCTGCTCCATATGGGTTCTTAGGTATGTATAAAGACATGATACTGCAGAAAGACATGCTGTTGGCAGGTTTGTTTTCACATTCATTCCAAATGATTCCATACGTGGACTTTGCCTTTTTATCAGATAGTATGTATGATACAATATGCCCCCATTCATGCATTTATAAGTTCCATAGCTGTTCCACCTTCCTCTTGATATTTGAAAGCTGTCAAACACAAACCATTGTGGACCAAACCACAGGCACCTCCGAGAGTGACTCTCATGACCAATGAAGGAAGGTTAGCACCATCCCAG